ATGGTCTGTGAGCGTACAGCCCCTGAATACTTACCCGAGGGCTTGGTCTCCTCTCTCGGTACACACGCTCTTCCAGAACCACGACCTTGATTTTTTTTCAGTCCTGCATTTCTATCACACAGCCAGGTACCTGGCACTAATAGCATTAAATAAATATTTAACTGATCTAATAAAGAATGTGGAATGGGAGCTTAGCTTTTCATGAAGGGCAAGACTTAGATAAGAAGGGAATGAAAGGTTGGACTTTTCCAAGCATGGCCAAGGGAATCAAGCAGCTGACTCAAAACTCTGGGCAGCTGAAGAAACCCTGTGGTTGCAGGCCCCGGTGGAATAATGAAAGCCCACTGCTGGTATCACCGTTAATCCAAAGTGCCAGGGCTTTAAAGCTGGTCTCCATTCATCTGGACTTTTAACTGTAACACAAGCCTACATGAGTAGCCTCATAAACCTTTGATGCTTTAATCTCAAAATGATTTCCTGGATTCTTATTTCCTGGTCTATTTTTCCCTCACCTCTTTTTCTGCTGATGCTAAATGGTGTGTGTGTGTGTGTGTGTGTGTGTGTGTTACGAGGAATGCAGCCCAGACAAAGAATCCTGGGCCAACACTGACCTGATACTTGATACACATTTACAAAGCTTGGGGCGCTGCTAGGTAAAGATATCCTTGGCACCAAGAACTCACCAAGTTGGGAGTTCTGTGAAGCCAGAATCCAGTTTCCCTTGCAGCTTTCCCAGCTCCTAGGACATAACCCAGCACCGCACACATCAAAGATGCCAACATCATCGTGTCCGTCCTTGGCAGTTCAATCTTCAAATTTAAAAAGCTTTCTGTAGCTTAAAGGCAGCTCATGTCACCCTCCACAACCCAAACAAAGTGGACAGGGCACAAGCAGACGACTGGGAAAAAAAAAAGTCATCCTCTATTCCTTGAGTCCCCATAAATGGGAACGAAAAGTTCTGGCCAATTTATCCTGCGTAACTGCAGCTTTACATCAGGATAATCCTGCCTGAGCTCCATGTTTGCTCAAAGGACATGGACTCATTACATAAAAATGCAGTTTTCAGGGAGGGTGTTGAGCTTAGCAGTCAAGACACTGGTTAAGATGCCCATGCCCATATCCCAGTGCCTGGCTTCACCGCCTGGCTCTGACTCCTGACTCCAGCTTCCTGCTGATGCACACCCTGAGAAGCAGCAGGTGATGGCTCAAGTGAGCCCCTGCCATTCATATGGGCGACCCAGACTGACTTCCAGACCCCAGCTCCAGCCTGGTTCAGGCCTGGCTAGTACAGAAATTTGGGAAATGAAACAGCAGATGGAAGAACATCTCTTTCTCTCTCTCTCTCTCTCTCTCTCTCTCTCTGTGTGTGTGTGTGTGTGTGTGTCTCAAATAAATTTTCTAAAAGGTTTTTAAATACAGTTTTCAGAAAACTTCACTACAAAGCACCCGTGGAGGCCCCTAAGCCATTATCCATTTCCTGCACTCTTTATCTGAACTGCTATGCTGTCTCTAATTAAACACAATAATTTTACACTTAACATCCTCAGGAGGATGTCAGACTCGCAGAAATCCTTGGAAACAAAAACCACAGGCTCCTCCTCGGCAGCTTCATAATCACACAAAGGCTTCCCTACCGACAGGTGCCCAGAAGCTAACAGAACAAATAAATGGAAGAACTAGATGAAAAACAGTGAGAGGGGCAGGTATTTGCCCTAGCAGTTAAGATGCCACTTAGGACAGCTGCATCCCATATTGAGTGCCTGCATGCAACTCCCAGCTCCACTCCCAGTTGCAGCTTCCCACTAATGCTACGTGGGTCCCTGCCACTCACCTGGGAGATCTGGATTGCGTTCCCAGCTCATGGTTTCTACTTGGCCCAGTTCCACTTATTATGGGCATCTGGAGAGTGAACCAGTACATGGGGACCCTCTTTTACCTATTTGTCTTACAAATAAAAAATAATTATTAAAAGAAAAATAATGAGACTCATCACTCACAAAGTACAATGCTCAACAGATAGTTCAGCTTTTGAAGATACTAACCTACTCCACACTGGGAGACTGAGAGGCTAAAGACATTCATAGCAGGCAATCAACCAGAAATTACAAGCAGACGTGTGAAATGTTAGGCTACTCAGAAAAGGATTCTGTGTCCTTAGGTGACATGTGAAGAGTGATTTGGGTAACTTGAGATGTGCTTTATAACAACGAGCATACCCCAGGCCAATAACAAGTCACTGGTTCATGGGACAGCAGGTCTGTGCTCTCACCCTGCAGTTACCCTGCCAGACCTGGCCCCATCTTTCTCTCCCCACACCATGCCCCAGAAGGAGCCCCTGCAGAAAGAATCACCTAGGCACCCCAAGTCAGCCACCCTTGGGTGAGTCTGACCACTGCGGGGTACCAACAAGAGACGGAAGGGTTGTGGGATGAGAAGGAAAAGCGCCAAGGTTCTCTCCCCTCTGATGGCTTCCCACCGCACCCTGGCAGGGGCTGGGTCCAGCTTGCACTGGCCAACGGCAATGTACTTTCTCCCATTCCCCTACAACCCCAGGGTCTGGGCACCTTGGCATCCTTTGCTGATTCCCCTAACCCTGCCTACATCCCTATAAGTAGCTCATTAAAATCTCTTTCTTTCTACCCATTGATCTAAAACCTGTCTGATATAAGTACCTTCCTAAGATAGGGCACTTCGTATCTATCTAAAATCTCCAAAAGCCAAAAGGCGGGTCTTGTTGCCAGCTCCCCCATTTGACACAAGAGGACGCTTAGGCTGTAGAGAGGCAGAGTTCTGGCCAGCCAGCCAGCCAGCTGTCACAAAGGAAGCTTTCGGGCAGGGCGAGCTCACCCAGACATCTCAGCCCTTGTCAAGCCTTACGTGTGGAGGAGAAAAGCACAGCATGCTTCCAAACTCTCAAGCCACAATGAGGCCTCAAGCTGTATTATTTATGATCTGGGATTTTCCCTGGGCCAAAAAGCTACCCAGAGTATTGCCCTATAAATGCTTCTCACACATCAAAATCCATTTGAGATTGACCCTACAAGGAAGGAGGAAGTGGGTGCATGGCGAGGGGGGGTCGGACTGACCTAAGGTCTCAGTGATCCCAAGGGCTTCCCCTGTCCATCACCAACATCTTTCTTTCGGTTCATCCCAGAAATTCCTTTCTCCTTCGCAACCTTACACATCCCTAAGGCTCTTTCTCCCTCTATAAATTATTATCTTAAGTTTATTTAATTATATACATGTACTTGAAGGGCAGTATGACAGAGAGAGGCAGAGACAGAGAGAAGGAGATCTTCCACCTGTTGACTGACTCCCTATTGGGCACAGGAGCCAGGGCTGGGGCTAGGCCGAAGCCAAGAGCCCAGAACTCCATCCAGGTCTCTCACACGGGTAGCGGGGACCCAAATACTTGAGTCACCACCTGCTCCCTCCCAGGAGGCATTAGCAGGGAGCTGAATTGGAAGCAGAGGTGCCAGGAACCCACCAGCACTCCAACGTGAGATACCTGTACACCAGGCAAACACTTCACCCCTGTATCACAATGCCCACCCCTATAAATTAAGACCAGGGTTATTTTGAACAGAATCCAGGAGATGGGGGTGGATGCAATTAGGCACTGATAATATACTAGCTCCCACCGTGGTCCTCTATCTCATTGCATACAAAAGGCCTCCCACATTCTTTTCTCTAGCTGAGCAGAAGAGCTTAAAAGAGAAAATGCCATTCTAATAAATTCTGATGGGGGAGGGGCAAACACAGAACCAACTCCCCTTAAGGAAATTCCGCTGTGAGTTATATTTAGTTTCAGGCCAAAGAATTTGCTACTAAGTCTGCCTCTGCCTGGGTCCCCTCACTCTCCTCTGTCTTCCCAATCAACTAGAGTCACTGACAAAAAGCATAAATGTGTTCCTTGGCAGCATCTGATACCTCGCCCCATTTCCTGACTTTTTGGATTTTGCAGCTGAGGTGTAGGTAGTGGAGTTTGGGGTCAGCTCCTCACCCTGAGCCAGGTAGGAGGCTGACTCACCACACAGCACCTGAACCAGGCAAAGGGCCAGCTCTCACTTCCTCATTGCCAGAGGAATATGTGAGGAAGGGCAGCAGGTATATGCTGTCTTGGAAGAAAAAAAGAGAGAGAGGGTGCTGGTGAGCGGAAGTGGAAATACACTGCCTGGAATAAAAGTCAGGAGTCCAAGTGGGCCCTCCCCGTGTGTGCCCTGCCCAATTCCATTTAAATCAACAAGCGTTCATTGAGTCACGGCTGAGTGCACCGCAGTCCTAGCCCGCAGCGCCTAAAGGGGCAGTGAAATGGGCAGGACAGCCCCAGCCGCCACCGGGAAGACCTCTTACCAGGAGCGATCACTGTTGCCATTTTTCAATCCTAACCGCAGCGGACGATTCCTGGACAGTCCACAACATCTGACCAGCTTTCCTCCCTGCAGCCCGGGAAGCGGTCGGCTGAGTAAGCAAAAGCCCGCAGAACCCCAGGCGTCCCTCTGCGTCCCCTCTCTGCCCCTCGGCATCACCCAACAGCACAAAGTGACCGGCACACCCCTGATGGGACAAGTCTCACGGCCGAAGTCTCAAACCCGGACCCCTCATTCCAAATGCACAGACTACGGTCTAACAGGCTGGTCAGGTGTGTTTAATTTTTTTTTTTTTTTCAAATTACCAATAATAAAGACCTGGCTACCCCGAGGGAGGAAAACCCAGATTCGTGTATCAGACTCCAGAACTTGATTACAGGAAACGCTGCAATTCAAAACTTTTTTTTTTCTTAAAGTTAGTCGAACTTTAAAAGGGCAAATCGGACTGACACTCTTCACACTAACAAGGAGAGAGACCCTCAGGGCCCACCTGTCGAGGTAGGCAGTGGCCGCACAACACGCCACCGGGCGGGGCAGGGCACGCAGCCAGGAAACGCCATCCGCCCGGTCCCGTGCCCGCGCCGCCCGGGGTACCAGGCTGCCCGCTCCGCGGCTGGCCGCGCGCATTACCTGGTCCAGCGGGATGCCCAGGAGCTGGCTGAGCGGGTGCAAGCAGGTGGAGCCCGTGGTGCGGTAGGAGAAGCTGGACGGCGGCGGCTCTGCGGCCATCCTGCATCTTCGGGAGGCCGCTGCCCGGCCCCAGCCTGCGCCCTTCCGTCTGGGCGTTGGTGAGGGGTCTGCACCGAGGGGCGCGCGGCCGCCTCGCTCTCTGGGGACGCGAACCGGCGAGGCTCCGGGGCGCAAACTCGGCGTGGGCGCCGGGGGAGGGCCGGGCCGAATGTGCTCCGCTTCCCGCTCCACTCCGCTCGGCGCCCATTGGCCCGGCGGCCCCGGGACGGCCCCAGGAGGAGGACGCAGGGAGGAGGGAAAGCCGGGACTCGGAGCCCGGCCCCCCGAGCGCCACCCGGCCCGCCCAGCCCGGCCCGGCTTGGGGAAAGCGACGCCCGCGGACGCCGCCTCGCCTTGGGGCGGTGGCGCGGGGCCCGGGAAGCGAGGCTCTCCCGCCTACGCCGGAGCTCGCCTGCTGCCTGCCTCGGGACCAGAGACGCCCCACAGCCCCGGGGGCGGCTTCAGGGCGCCCTCCTCTTGGTCCACGCAGCTCAAGGTTCCCTGAGCTTTCCTCTGAGCCGCAAAAGGCTGGCGTGCGGGGAGACCCCCGCGCCGCTAACGAGCGCCGCAGCGCCCTCGCTCCCCCTGTCTGCACTTTGCTGGCTCAAGGCAGCGTTTCCTGCACCCTGATCTGACGCGCTGTGCCACACAGGCAAGTTCAGGAGATTCCTGATCACTTCCGACCCATTGGATCAAGCATTTCTGTACCCCTGTGAGAAGCGGTGCTCACTCTGCTTTCTGTGCGTTCTGTAAAGGTGTTTGCATGCCAGGGTTCTAAGCGAGGGCACCTTGCCCCTTCACTGTTCTTGAGCCCCCTGACAACCCGTGTCTCACTGCCACTCGAACGCCTCTGTCAGCAGTTAGAGACATGTAAAAACCTTAACGATCCGTTCCAGGAATCGCTGATTAAGAAGGCATTCAGCAAGGCGGTATCCTGGGCTGGGAGCTGTCCCTAAGGCCAGAGTTAGCTGGTGGAGCACACGACCAAACAGGCAGAGACATTGGGCAGACTTTTACAACGTGGCCTCCAGCAGCAAGTTAAACTGTAGGCCTGTCAACACAGCCACAACTTCCTCCCATGGAGTTTCAGCTCCAGCCAGCTGCCCTGAACATGAAACAGGCTAGAGTTTCTAAACCCACGTGTCCCCGCCGCCACTCCCTGACTGGGTGGAGATTGTCTGGGAGGCCACCACCAGATGACAAACTGCTTTACTACCCACAAGCACACACCCACCAAACACACACGCACAGTCCTATAGCAGAGAATTGCTAGGCTAGACCTTAAATGTCACGCACTCATAGAAAATGACCAGAGTTGAACCAGTGTTCATCTTACGTTGAGTAAGGTGACAGCGTAAGTGAGGCATGTGAGAGCAGAATGGGCTTGAAAAAGCCACTTAGATGAGAATTGCCAGAAAACAGCCATCCATTTTGGGTAGTGTTTCTGAAGCAAGTATTTCAGATCATCAGTAGTTTTCCACAAACAAAGCTGATCTCTCAGACTTCAAAGAATAGTCTTCACAGAGGCACAGATGAAAGAAGAAAGATTATGAGCCCAATACAGGTTCATTTCTCCTCTGCAAAACAGATTATAATCTAGTCTAAAATTTTCCTTTAAAAATATGGTGACTATACTTAGATCTCATAAACAACATGTCACTGAATTATAACCTTTTCTGAACCAGTGATACTGGACTAAAATGAATGCTAAAAGATCTATTAGATGATGCAGAACCAAAAAATGATCAGTGACACTGCAGATACAATAAATAGGCTGCAACTGACCAGGTGCAGCTCTAAGATGTATAACAGCTGTACCACGGACACATCGCTCTCCCTTCGTCTGCTTCCATACTCCACCCACTGTGGATTCATAGTAAGAGTGACATGTTAGCTCTAACTACAAAAGCTGGTTCATTTAGCAGGGACAATAATTCACGTGATAGTTATAATACCCTCCCTTTGACAGATGATAAAATGGGTTTAGAGAGCTTGTGTAACTAAGTTGTATGTAGGGAGGTTAAATAAAACACGTTTGTCTCATTCAAGAACCTAGGCTTTTAGTCATTCCACATTGCCTCCTCTAAAACAAAGGATTTCTCTCTTCATCAAGCCTGATACAGGCTTGTCATTCGTGTGGGAAAAGCATTACATTTGCTGTCCAAAAGTTAAGTTGGGAAGGGTGATGCCGCAGCACACTGGGCACTGATTTTCAATCTGCAGTAGAATGAGGCTTGATTTCAAGTCAGTTCCTTTAATCTCCTTTATGCAACCATGCTCAAAATGAATGTCACCCAGGAGATCCACTGCACATCCTGATGAAAATCAAAGGCCAGGCACAAAAAGATTCTGACCTGTTCAGGAAGCCGGCATGTGACCGTGGACCAATAAAGATTCACACCAGTCAGATGCCAGACCAGACCCAGCCCACAGAAGTATAACCCCTCAAGAAGATAAAAGTCTAATGATACATTCAATCCAAATTCAACCAAAGACAATGACCAGTGAAATGGAATTAAAGCCACTTATGATTATATAAGGCATGGAAAAATAAAATTACCAGGACAGGCATTTGGCCTAGCAGTTTAGGTGCCAGTTAGGATGTGCATGTCCCACACCACAGTACCTGGGTTTAATACTCAGCTCTGGCTCCTGACTCTAGCTTCCTGCTAATGTGGACCCTAGGAGACATCAGTGATGGCTCAAGTAATTGGGTCTCTGCTACCCATGTAGGAGATTTGATTTCTCAGCTCCTGGCTTTGGTCCCCCAGCCACACCCTGTTGCAGGCATTTGGGAAGTGAGCCAGTGGATGGGAGTTATTTTTTCTCTGTATGAATCTACATGTGTATGTGTGTATGTATCTGCCTCTCAAATAAATAAATTTATTAAATGTTAATTTTAAATGAAATTACCACTTTAACAATACAACATACTGGGGCTGGCGATGTGGCACAGTGGGTAAAACTGCTGCCTGCAGCACCAGCATCCCATTTGGGCACCAATCTGAGTTCCAGCCACTCCGGTTCCCATCCAGCTCCCTGCTAATGAACCTGGGAAAACAGCGGAAGATGGCCCAAGTGCTTGGACCCCTACAACCACATGGGAGACCTGGATGAAGCACCAGCTCCCAGCTTTGGCTTGTCTCAGCCCTGGCCACTGTGGCCATTTGGGTAGGAAACCTCTGCCTCTGCCTCTCCTTCTCTGTATAAATAACACAACAATACTGTGTCTCACAGATCATATGGATCTATAGCACATTCTTTGATCCTCCCACCAAATATCAGGTTGGAAGTGCAGGTGTTATTATCATTTTTATTATGTCATTATCTATATCTGTATTCAGAATAGCAAGTTTGTGTTAAATTGAAAGTAGGTTATTCAACTAAGAAACACAAAAGTAGGGTTGAAAGTTGGGTGTTTTACAATTCTTTTAAATCATACAGCAATCTTTTTATTAAACTAGGAGTCCACCTTCAGGAACACAGTAGAAGTTGTCTGCACAAGATGTTAAACTCCATCTTAACATTTGCAGAATCATTTTGATCAAAATAGACCCACTGTGGGTGTCACCCTTAAGCAGTTTCTTTAAGGCATTCCAATAAAACTTTAGGGAATTTAAATTTTGCAGTGAGTGCTCCACTTCTTCATGTTTTAGGTAGACTGAAATGCACTCAAATAAGGCTGCCTCCCTGTCTAACAGTTTCCTACCTCGGGGTCACAGTTAAACATTGTTCTTGTATTTGTACATGTCCAGAAAATGAAGATTCTAATATACCTGAACATCTGCCAGATTTAGCTATTACTGCTAAAGTGTTCTAGCACTTTCTCCTTATGAATACTGCATAATTCAGTCATGTGAGATAGCCCAACCCAAGTCATATCAGGAAAGAGCTGGTATAAGCAAAGACAAAAGAATCCAAAGTAGTTCACCAGCCCCTCAAGGAAATCAGTTCTGAGAAATGCAAAGCAGAAATTAGTTACTGACAATTAGATGCAGAAATAAAGCCAACTGGCAAAACTCCATTTGCTGAACATACTCAGAATATTTACAAATATGACTTTGTATGAATCTGGGTGGTCTTTCCTGAGCTTAAAACATAGCAGAGGGTATGGTCCGGGAGTGCAGTGGAAGATGGCCCAAGTGCTTGGGCCCTGCACCCCATGGGAGACCAGGAAAAGCACCTGGCTCCTGCCTTTGGATCAGCGTGGTGCGCCGGCTGCAGCACGCCAGCTGCAGCGACCATTGGAGGGTGAACCAACGGCAAAGGAAGACCTTTCTCTCTGTCTCTCTGTCTCACTGTCCACTCTGCCTGTAAAAAAAAAAAAAAAAAAAAAAAAAAAAAAAAAAACATAGCAGAGGGTCAGGCAGTAAAACCTCCAAAGAACGCAGCCATTAGCACAAAGCAAAAGTGGGTCTGAAAACCAGTACTGGTTTGGTGACTTTGAGTAAATCAGTTAATTCACCAAGCCTCAATCTCCTGCTCTGTGAAGGGGGGAATATGAATAACAATCTTTTGCAGTTGGTGGAAGAAGTGGCAAAGTCACTGTCACAAAGTAACTGTTCAGAAATTATTAACTCTCTTCAGCTAAAGCTCAAAGCCTATGAACTAACATTTTATTTTTAACTTTGGTCCTTTGGGAAAGAGATGCATGTGCAGTGCACCTTTTGCTGAAAACTTAGATGCAGTCAGTGACCTTGACTGTTGGTAAGCCAGGCACTGCTGCCAACAGGAACCCATCCTGCAGTACAGGCATGTCTGGAGCCCATGGATGTGGCATGGGATTTCCTTGCCCTGGGCTACGCCCAGAGAGATCACCTTTCTCAATTACTGTGTCTGCTTTCTAGTTTTTCTTTCTCTTCTGTTCTCCTCTTTCCATTTTCTCTGCCTTGCCTCCATCATTGGTTCCCCTGAGATCTGGGGAACTCCCCAGAATGCCCTAGACAGTATGCATTGGCCGAGTGCCTAAGGGGTTCTTGAAGAAATGAAGTGTTTTGATTTTAACAACATAAACTCTACGACATTCTAGCATGGATGTTCAGGGCTGTTTTTCTTCTTACTTCTTGATTCTCTGGCTGAGTTCCAAAGAGTTACTGTTGCCAAAGCAGTACCCTATGAATATGCTTGAGAAGACAGAGACAGACAAAATCTAAAGCTGTCAGGATTCCATGTTTGGCTGCAGTGAAAGGGAGGGGGTGGAGGGAGAAAGAGAGAGCAGGCTAGGGCCTCTCCTGATGGTCTTTTTGTACCCTCTCTCTCCACCCCCACTTCAATGGCGCCATCATCTTGGGCTTCAAGGAGTTCCAGAGAGTTAAGCCTTCAACTTAAAAGTTTTATTCATCCGGGAAACCACTTGGAATCTCCCTCAATTCCTTTTCCCTTACTCTTCACTCTCTGTTCTACAGCCTGATTCCCTGGGGCCAATAACAATACCAAGCATGACAGGTTTTAGTTAATTTTTTAAAGATTTATTTA